GTATATTTCTTGTATTGTAATTTCGTTGGGCAGATATTGTGCCTTTTGGCTGTTGAAGAGAGAGAGAGAGAGAGAGAGAGAGAGAGAGAGAGAGAGAGAGAGAGAGAGAGAGTGTGTGTGTGTGTGTGTGTGTGTGTGTGTGTGTGTGTGTGTGTGTGTGTGTGTGTGTGTGTGTGGTGGATGTAGATAGATAGATTTAGATATGTAGATATATATATATATATGCATACATACATACATACATACATACATACATACATGTAGGTAGATCGACATGTATATGTAGATAGAGATAAAAATGTATGTATGTCTCATAATACATACACATAAATATATATATATATATATATATATATATATATATATATATATATATATATATATATATATATATATATATATATGCTGTACCACATAAATTCATATTGTAGATGCTTTCTGGGCGTTCCTTGGTATACTTTTGCATCAATATGCACAGCCCCACATTGCACATAGACCCCCAATGTCTCCCCATCCCACAAGCTCTCTAGACGACAGTTAGCACATAATATGCAGTATCCTTCTCGTTCCCAGAGTCCTGGCGGTATCCTGCCGAAATTGCCCCTCGGCGCTGGCCTGCTCGGAGGAGGGGCGCTGGGTGCCAACCCCCTGGGACTCCCCCACTCCCCCATGGCGCAGATGCCGCCCGTGTCTTTGTTTGGGTGAGTGCTGGTTTTGTGACGTGCGTGGTCCGTTATTATTGCAGTTGTTTTTGTTTTATTATTTTTACTATTATTAATTATTGTTCTGTTATTAGTATTATAGTTATTATTTGTGTTATTATTATTGTTATTGTTGTTGCTGTTATTAATATAGCTATTATCACCGTCACCAATATTATTACTATTTTTGCTATTACTGTTGCTGTTATTCTTATTATTAATCATCATCACCACTAAGTCATAATTAGTTCTGCTTTGTCTATGTTTGTTTTGTTGTTTTTTATTTGAAATTATATGGTTGCTGTAATTACTACCATTTTATAGTTTATTAAGTTATTATCATTATATTTTTATGTTTTTCTTTGTCATTAGTTTGTTTGGTTGATGGTAGTGCTGTCATTATTTATGATTTGATATTGCTGTTGATCCTGTTTTTTTTTTTACTGCTGTAGTTACTAGGTTTATTATTATTGTAATTATTCTCTAGGTAATTCTCTCTCTCTCTCTCTCTCTCTCTCTCTCTCTTTCTCTCCCTCTCTCTTTCTTTCTTTCTTTCTTTCTTTCTCTCTCTCCTCCTCCTCCTTCTCTCTCTCTTTCTTTTTCTCTTTTTCTTTCTCAATCCCCCGCCTTGATTTAGTAGAAAAAGAAAACAAAAGGTTTTAAAGAACCGACCACCTCATTGAGCGAGTTTGCCCCCAACAGTGCAATAGGAACACGCCCGCCGCCCATGCTCCAGCCGCCCACGCCCACGAGCTGCGGGCCGCTGCGCCGACGCCTAACAGACAAAGCCGCTCTCCTTACTCCAGGTAACCAAAACCTCTGCCGCCCTCTATCCTCTCCTCCCTTCCTATCTTCCTCCCTTCCTCGCCTTGCTTCCTTCCCCCTCTCTTTCTCTCTCTCTCTCCCTCCCTCCCCCCTCCCCCCCTTCCATCCCCTTCTTCCTTCCTCGTCCGCGTGGTGAAGGATCGTGTTCCTCTTCCTCATTTCTTTCGTGTGTTTCTCCGCTTATTCACTTCCCCTTCCTCATCTTCCTGTCCTGGTATTTCCTTCTCTTCTTAAATTGTTCCCTTTCCTCGCCCTTTCCCATTTCCTCTTTTCCCTCCCCCCTCCCTCTCCTTCCTCCTCATCCTTCCTTACCCCTTCCCCTCCCCTTTCCCCTCCCCCTTCCCCTTCCCCTTCCTCCTTTGGTTTGTCTCTGAAGTCACTTCTTCCTTGTTCAGTTCAGACACGAAATTTGTACCACATATTATTGTACATTAAATATTGTAGATGCTTTCTGGGCATTCCTTGGTACAGTGAATAAGATATTTTGAATCCTAGAAGAGCATGTGCATTTCTTTGATTAAGAATATAGTACTGAATTCTTGTATCCATATATATATATATTCACATGCATATGTCCACGACTTTAAAACACACGAGCGAAAGATATAACTCGAACGCACGAAGTAGGTGGGCCGGTCCGTGTCTTTATCATTATCATTATTACTAAAATAATAATAATAATTATTATTATTATAAACATTTGTATTTATTATGATTGACCTTCCCTGAACGACTGTTAACACGATCGGGTGGAGCGCTGCGGTTGTGAACCCTTCTCGACCGCGGTACTGAAAAAATGCAGTCTAGAGGAGCAGTTTTGACTAGTAGAATATTCCAGGTTTCTGCTTAGAGACAGTGAGGCATACGCAGGAAATTAAAAAATAAAAGTTAGTGGATCATTTTTTGTCACTACTTCAAATTGTACAGAAATAAAGAAAACAAATATAACGCGGACTATGTAATCACATCGACCT